GGGCTCCCTGCTCAGCGGGGAGTCTGCTTCTCCCTCTGACCCTCCTCCCTCTCATGTTCTCTGTCTCTCATTCTCTCTCTCGCAAATAAATAAAAAAAAAATCTTGGAGGAAAAAAAGATGATGGTTATAAAGAGGAAGCTGTTGTGTCAGGTTGAGAGGGAAGGGACCAAGGATGTCCTAATCCCTGGATAGGAGAGGTGGCTGAGAGTGTCTCTAAAAACATCCTTTTTGAATAAATATGAAATTAATATTGCTAAGTGTTAAGAAGAGGCTTAGCTTTGGCTGAACGCTGGCTGTCCCTCTGTCAGAGACTTGCTGGCTGGTCCCTGCTGACCCTGGGGATGAGAACCTACTTGAAATGGTATTGTAAGGTTGGGTTCATGGTAGCTGTAGAAACAAACAGAAAACTGAGCAGAGCTGAACCCTGAAGGCAATGGGTGCTGCCATGGTAACTTCGTGCTGTGTGAAAAACCATGAGAAACCACATCCTTTCTTCAGATAAATGTCAAGGGACTCTCCTAAGAAATACAGCAAAGATTTATTTAGGAGAAAAATAGCTTCTAAATGTGCTGTCCTCTTACCCTGGGAGTAGCAGAATAGCCTTCGAGCATCACATCAATCGTCTGGTCTGGGTACAGCTCCATTCTGACGGGATGGAGCTGAAACACGGGGCCTGGAGGAGCCCTGGACTCCTGGGAGCACTGGGGTTGGGGCTGGCTCTTAGCAAGACCCTTCTTAGCCAGGCCCTTCTTGCTCAGCTTGTCCTGTGGACAGAAATCTTCGTTCATCCAGAACAACTGTTGGACCCGACGTCCTTTGTTGGTCAACTTGAAGCGGTAAAAATAGGTGTCCAGGCTGGAAAAGAGGAGGCAGGGATTGAGAGGACTCAGCTTTGAGGTGTTCTCTTCAGCTCTACACCCTTGGGATTTACTCGTCTAAAAGTATTTAAAAAGTGAGTAATGAAATATATTTTTAAAAATTTAGGAAGGCTAAATCACGAGGCTACAAGGAGCCACCACAGTAATGGGACAAGGTAATGTCTACTCATGGAGTCCACAGACTGGAGTCCGGCACCTGGGTTTGGTCCCTGAGTTACCATCACCAGGGAAGGGGCACAGAACACAGACACAGTATGTGCAAAAACCACTCTAATTTACGAGAAATGATTCTGAGGAGTGAATGGAAAGCAAAATACCTACTGGAGAAGAGATACATTTCAACTTGTGTTGAGTAAATTTCCACTGACTGAGCAAAATATCTTGTGACGAGCTCAACTTGAAGGGTACTTGGAAGAGAAACCACACATACCCACCAAGCCCAGCCAAAGCTCAAAGGGACTGTACGATGGACCAGAACATCAGCTGTGGTCATTTTTCTCAGACTAGTGCTTTCAAAATTCTGCTATTTCATTCATTAATTCATTTGTTTGTTCATTCATCTATCCCATGAATATTTATTAAGAACCTCTTGATTGTCTGGCTCTTTGCGAGACACTGGGATTTCTAAGAACTTGGAGGTGGCTCAAACATGATTTTGTTTGGTATTTAAAAAAAAAAACTGATTTAGGGGCATCTGGGTGGCTCAGGTGGTTAAGCATCTGCCTTCAGCTCAGGTCATGATCTCAGGGTCCTGGGATCAAGCCCTACATTGGACTCCCTGCTTCTCCCTCTCCTCTCTGCTTGTGCTCTCTGTTGCTATCTCTGTCTCTCTCTCTCAAATAAATATATAAAATCTTAAAAAAAATAAAAATAAAATAAAATAACTGATTTATAAGCTTATTTAAATTTTTTTTCCCCCAGGGAGAAAACTCATCTCAGGACTGAGGACTGTTTTTTATTTTTAAAATTTTAACAGGCTTTGAGATTTCATCCCCTCTGTTCCTCATTAGAAATAGCATCATATCTGGCGCCTGGGTGGCTCAGTTGGTTAAGCGACTGCCTTCAGCTCAGGTCATGATCCTGGAGTCCCAGGATCGAGTTCCACATCGGGCTCCCTGCTCGGCAGGGAGTCTGCTTCTCCCTCTGACCCTCCCCCGTCTCATGCTCTCTCTATCTCATTCTCTCTCAAATGAATAAATAAAATCTTTAAAAAAAAAAAAAAGAAATAGCATCATATCTTATAAGTAAGTTGAAGCATCAGATAAATAATGAGTATTTGCCAACTGTCAGGTGTAACCATTTCTATCTAAATATGCATCCACAGAGCAAGCTTACTGGAGTAGCTTGACTTTATGGCTAAGTCCAGGTTTTAGGGAAATAATAAATAATATAAACTGTTTATAAAGTAGGCAGCATCTCTGTCACTTATACAGAGTAGGTTTATCTGTCAATCCTCCCAGCAACCCAGTAATAATAAGTATATTTTCTCCCATTTTATAAAGAAATAGAAGCTCTGAAAATTTAGGGAGTTGCCCCAAAATATGCAACCAGAAGAGGCGCCATATGGGTATTTTTTCAGACCCTTACATTCAAAAGGTTGGCCAACTGTTTCTGTAAAGGGATGAACAATAAATACTTCAGACTTGTTGGGCCATGTGGTCTGTCATGACTACTCAACTCTCCATTGTGTGAAGGGAGCCACAGAAACTGTCTGTATAGGAACGGGCACGGCCATGTGCCAATAAGACTTCATTTATAGAAGCAGGCAGTGGGCTGCACTTTGCCCACCCCTGCTTTTGACACTTCTCCTGGGGATTGCTGGCATTATGATTTTATGGTGAAAAGAATAACTGCAGGGTTTGTCCAGAGGAGAAATTGGCAGCTAAAAGTTGCAGTTTGCTTCTACATTCATAGACAACTATTAGCTAACCCTCCATTTCTAGGCAAGTGTCAGAAAATCCTTTGGGGCTTTGTGACACTATTTGTAGACTAAGGAGAACATGTAATTAAGACTGGCATGCAGTATATTGTTTTCTATAATTATATTTGAGTGCACTTAACAAGAAATTTGGAAATAGAAGCATGGTACGCAATGACAACATGCCCTAGCTTATGGCCAATAGACGGGTGGAGAGGAGCATTTTTATACCTAGCTGACACAAAAACTGTAATTGGATGCTTCTCTGAAAACAAATGAAATTCAACTATCTGACTTGCCTGTTACTTCATGCCTATTGGTTAATGTATCTTCAATCAAGTGTCATGTGTTGTAGATGGAGCAGAGGAAAGGAGGTGTGGATGGGGTTTTGGGGAGGGCTCCTAACTGACTTTTGTCAGGCACATATTCTCTAAGTATAGTGTGTCCATCTTGGTTTCAAGGCCTGTTACACCAGAAGGCAGGAGTACCCCTCTGAGATCTGTTCACAGTATTTCAACAGGCCAAATTCAACTGGCCCCCAAGAGTCGACTAGTGGCAGCCATGTGACTCCTCTGAGGAACCATGAATAAACTGCCATATATATCCTCCACTGTTAGCATTCAAACCTCATACATTTTCAGAGCTGCATTTAGACTGTTCTGCTCAAAGATGTCTATCCTATACCACCTTTTATATAAATATGGAGATTCTCTAGCTTTTCAGGTGGAGACAATTGCAAACTTCTCAATTGTTGGTGCATGGGTGGGGAGACAAGCAGAGGACATAATACAAGAAAAATTACTGGCCTTGCAATAACTGATAATATACAATAAATTTTTTAACCTTCCAAGTTATACTCTATTTAGGTCACCACCAAGTTGCATCTGTATTTTCTACATTCATGGAGAGGAATTAGCAGTGCATTGGAATTAAAGAGGAGACGTCATGGTTGAGATTCTAAATTTGTCACAAAGAAGCCATTGTATGTTTGAGAGAAAAATGCACTTCTAGAAGTCTCTTCTCTAGTGTGGAGGGACACAGCTTGGAGAACTCCACTATGCTGTGCCTAGGAAATGTCTTCTTGTGGCTGAGGTATCCATTTGAAGGGAGAATGAAGACAGGAAGGGGGGCGGGCTGAAGACACTAATTCTATTTACTTAAAATAATTTTTCCAAGTAGAGGTGATGGTCAGCTAATGCAACATCTGTAGTATCTGTAAGAATTGGTCCAGGATGTCTCCCTACCTAAAATGTGCTCCCAAATTGAGCTCTGGAGCAAAGGGCTTATCTGAGACGATGGTGGAGCCAACTCCGGAAGCCTGGACAGGAATCCGGTAAGTGTTGCTATTTTCTATGTCCAAAATGACCGTGTCTTTGAAGGTCAGGATGTCGTTCAGGTTGGCAGTCAGTGTCAGCTGAACATCGGTTTCCGGGGGAACCATGCCTTTACTGGGTTCAATCGTCCACAGGGACTTTGTGTGTGCCTGCAACACAAGACTACAAGTTAACAGTGAAGATATTCTTGGCTTTTCATTCTGCTCATGTCAAAGCCCTCTAGACTTCAAATGGCTGGCACTGCAGAACTCCACATCAGAGACAAACTTTTTTTTTTTCTTAATCAAAGCAACTGGGTGTTTGTTGGCTTTTCTTTTTTTCAAAAAGCAATCTGATTCTGAAGAGCAAACCTACAATTCCACTTTTGAATGCTCTGTGAAGATTCTTTATATCTCTTTCTCAAGATGACAGTCCAGTTCTCTAACAAGCTTATACTAATTATCTGCTCTAATCTCCAAATTCTGAGATGCTGACAGAAGGTACAACATCCTTCCTGGAATCTGTAATTTTTCAAAACAAATGTATTTCAAGGGCAAAGTTTCTATGATGTTATAGTGAGGATGAACAGCTTTCATTAATGAACACAATACAGGAAATTTTTATATATATTATTTCATAATAATCAATGGAATTTTGTTTGCTAAAATTTCAAACTTATTTTGAAATATATGACAGGACTGAATTATAGAGTTGGAATTGATGCCCACCAATCTGTTTCCTTTAACCACTTAGACTCTTATAGCTCACTCTTTCCTCCCTAAGGTCTTTGGCCAAATGATACCTCTCAACGAAGCCGACTCTGCCCATCATATTTTAAATTACAAACCTTCCCCCAGTAATCCTGATCCTCTTTGCCCTGTTCTATTTTTTTTCCCTTAGCACTTACCATCTTCTAACATTGTGTATAACTGATTTCTTTATCATGTTTGTTTGTTTCCTTGCACTAGCATATAAGCTCTCCACAGAAGGGATGCTTATGTTTTTTGTTCTTGTTGGTGTTCACTGATATATGTCCCCAGCACTTATAACTGGTACATAGTTATAAGTGCTTAATAAATATTTGATAAACGAATTAATGTATCTACCTTTGATGTAGGAAAACTCAATTCTCAACTAAAGTAACTTATTCCAGATTTTAACAACACAAATTGTTTGCTATCCCTTCCTTATATTAAGTAGAGAGGCTTTTTTTGTATCCTCCATAACACTGGTATTTGGCCAATCCCTTGGAGCTAAATAGGATAAACTGAAGCACCCTCTTTTGCTTAACAGCCCTTTGAATCCAGCATCCTAGCTTTAGAAGAAAATCTCAAATAGCACAATCAGGCTCCAAAGTAAGTTAAAAATTTGGTTAAGGTGTCAAGTCATAAAAATGTTGTAAGGATCTTATTTACTATAAAAATATAAATTCTGCTTACTTGATGGTAATCTTTTTTTTCAGGCTCCTTTTAAGATTTTCCCCTTGTATTTACTTATTTACTTATTTATTTAAATTTAATTTAGTTAACATATAGTGTACTATTAGTTTCAGGGGTAGAATTTAGTGATTCATCAGTTGCATATAACACCCAGTGCTCATTACATCAAGAGCCCGCCTTAATGCCCATCACCCAGTTACCCCATCCCCCCACCCACTTCCTCTCCAGCAACCCTCAGTTTGTTTCCTAGAGTTAACAGTCTCTTATGGTTTGCCTCCCTCTCTGTTTTTATCTTATTTTTCCTTCCCTTCCCCTATGTTCATCTGTTTTATATTTAATTGTAGGGCAGGTTCACTATAAGGTGTCTAATTAGGAGTTTATTTGCATATCCTGCTTGGAATTTGCTACTTTTCTAGAATCTGTGCTTTGATAGCTCTTTTTTTTTTTTTTAAAGATTTTATTTATTTA